TGGTTACGTTTCCTACTGGTCAATATACATAAATCTTTAACTTGATCTAGACATTAGGAAATCCGGAAGAGTATTCAAAACGGCGGCGTTGCGCAAACATATATATTTTTTTACTGGTTTTGTCACTCATTTTCCGATTGCGATCGGAGGCGCCAAGACAACCGGGTTCGAGTGCTGCTGGTGGGGCTGTGGGTGAGCTTTAAACAGATCTCCCCCTCAGAGAGTTGAAGCCAAAATAGAGGAGAAACGACAATTGGAAGATTGATGGCCCTACTGCTGGCTAATAGCTCTAAGCGGACCAGCGTAGCGGTACACGTACGTACCAGTCAACACAACCTTATTCGATACCATCCCGGCCCAGAACCATAGTTCCCGGTATCACTCTCACCGTTAGTCCCTGCAACACTCGCTAGTCTAGACTGCTTTACCGTTGCTCTCGTCGACTTTCTTGGCTTTGGCGTGGGACGTGGGTTGGGCAATTGCAATACTCGAGCTATGGGCTCTATACAGCTGTACAGAACCAAGCACGAGGAGTATAACAGTTAAATCTAGTTGTAACGGGCAGGTAAATCGGCGAAACAATTGGGTACAATTTTGGATGCCTTACGCATCAACAACTCCATTAACTTATATATGTAAATGTCATTAGAATGTTGCAAGTCGCACCCTTTTTCAATTAATGCTTCTTGATAGTTGAAATCAGGATCTCGCTTTGTATGCAAAAATAGATCGCAGTACAGAGCCCCAAAGGGAATTTTAGAAATAGCACACACTACATACAATATGTAAGTACAAAAGATAATGGAAAATTAATTGACCTCTTCCAATTTGCATATACATATATGTACATATGTATGTATGTATTCAATAATAAAAGCAACAGTTTGTACAATAAGAACACAATTTTAGAATGTTTGCAATGTTTAAGAGATTACAGTACACTAAAAAAAGGGTTCTCACCGTCACTAGTCACCGTCTTTCTCTGCTTCTATTATGCTCATTTGACCCTTCACAGCTTTTCTCTGGTTATACATATATCTGTTTATATGTATGTATGTTTATTATTACCTTTGAATTGATTTCCTCGCAGTTCATACCTCAAAATTCACAAAATCGTTGACTCAAAGCTGAACTCGGATTGAAGCGGACTCAAACCCATTGGGTCTGGGATGGAGCGGACCTGGGTCTGCAATCGCCTTAGTGCGAAGTTGTGGCTTTCGTGTGAGTTGTTCTTAATAAATCAACGAAAAGAAACGGAACGGAACGCGACGGAACGGAACGGAACGAGTCAAAGGGATTTTGGAAAAACCGTAAATGCAGATGATGAATTCTCAGCAATGTGTAAAACTTTTTCCTTGGACATGCCATCGTAATTATCTGACCAGAATTTTCTGCAATTCGAACTAAGATGAATGGAACCTGCACCGATTTTGTCAAGATAACTTGACACTAGAAATACTGTTTACTTTCCAAAACTCAAACTTCCGAAAAAAATGTTTGAATCTCTAATCTAGCTAAATTAAGAAGTACCAGATTATGGTTCAGATCAGATGAGTTCGGCCCTATAATGAGTACGATACCAAAACACAGATATATATACATATATTTACGGGGACACCGACAGCCGAGGCAGTGAACTTGAAGAGGTTATTACAAATTCAAGTGCGGCAGCATGGGTCGCTAAGACAAATACACGTTGCCACTGACCCATATTAGTATTAGTGGATCGCTCAGATATATGTTCATGTACATATACATATGTACATTTATCCAGGCGTGCGTGCTGACAAGGGTTTTGTCGCTTTCTTGGAAATAGATTTACAGTTTGGTGATCATAAAATGATTTGCAATTTGGTAAAGTCCAACACAAACAGAACTCTGGCAAGAAGATCCAGAAGTTCTAACGCATTCTTATCGCCCAAGCAACATCCATCCGTCAGCGGGTTAGTCAGAGTGGGTTAGGGCTAGGACACTGCAAAAAACGAACCACCCCGAATGCGATATACTGCTCCCACCCGTATCTGATATACAGATGCGAGTGGAAAGCTCCAAGTGTAGATAGCGGGCCTTATCTTTTGGTTAGTCAGACCCATAATACAGCAAGATTTAAGTATCTTGCGATGACTTGGGTAGCTTCTTTGTTTTTCTGCTGTTCGCTTCGGGGTTTTTTGTCATTGCCATTAGGCCAGGTTGTGCAATTTCACACACATTTGATTAATCGGCAGCGAAAAGTGGCCGGACGGCAGGTGACTATACGTAGAACAGTGTGTAGTACGAGAATGTGGCGTGGAGGCCTTAGCACGTGTTGTGCCACCAATTAGCACCCCATCGAAGTTACTGCTATCATGTGGTCTCTACGGAAATTTCATTAGTTTCATTACATTAAGTTGGTACTCATTTGCCGTTAGTGGCAGTGGCATCGCACTCCCCTTAGTCCACGCCTACGATATGCATCCGGGTGACGCATTCAAGAGGCTAATTAAATCAGTCTACCCGAGATAATTGTACATACTCGTATGTGCGTACAGACATACACATATACATATTATTAATCGCATTCGATCTTGGCAGAATCAGCTTGGGGCAGATCAGTGCAGATTGTTTTATGTACGCCCAATTAAAACTGGAGCTGGAGCTGGACGCTAGAGGCTGGGGACTTATCGGGGACCGCAAATGGAATGGCGTTAACAGGCTAATGAATAAATTAAAAATTAGCTGAGGGTCACTATAAATTGGCACACCGATAGACACACATACACTATATGTACCCACATACATACATATGTACATATATACATATTTACATATTTATACGCCACCAGTGAAAATGATACTGTAAAGCACTAGAGCCACCAAATTTTGTTTTTAGGCTCCTGTGATATCACACTGAGTCATTTGTTTTAAAATCTTGCCACACCCCTTCCGCCTCCACAAAGGATTAAAATCTGTGGTGAGATAGGACAATACGTAGAATAATTAAGAATAACCATATTTATCTAACCAAATTGCCGAATAAGGATCAGAACGGGCTATTATTGTACTCAGGAGGAACAAATGAAACTGCAGTGGCTACGCAACGCCTTCCACGAGCTTAGTCATTCCTTCTCTTTTGCACACTCTTCCTGGTGCAGTGTGCGTTTTCTGGTAAAAGAGAGCTGCGACTCACAACCTTACCGCTCGTTAATGACTGTTTGCGTCTAAGATCTTATTTATATTTGTTTATATTATTATTTGTATAATATAACATAATATAAATTAGAAAGTTATATTTATGTATGTACATACATGTATGAGCCAAATAAAACATGATTTAAGTTGATTTCTCACCAAAAAAAGGTTTTAAGTTTATTTTATCTATTTGATTCATGAAATTCTCTATACATTTATGATAAATTCAATATGCCCAGAAATGAAAGGAACGACCGAGTAAAACCGAAATAAAGAAATAAGTCACCAAAATTCTAACCAGATTCGAGCACGAAGAAGCGAAAAACATTACGGATACGCGATGTTGATAGATCGATATATATTTGCGTCTATACACACACATGTGTACATACATATGTACATATGTATGTACATATGTATGTTTGTATGAATGTTTGTATCAATATCGATGCCTGACAGATCTCGTGACGTTTGGCGATGACGGCGATAAGACGCGAGCACAAAAAATATGACGAAAAGCTAGAACCAAAATTGAGACACGAACACAATGGGGGACGGAGGAGCGGATAGGGTTGGGGACGACAATAAACAACAGTGTCGTTCATTCAAGCAAACAAATAATAAATTAATAAATTAAAAATGAGACGATAAAAATTGCTTGATGGCTGTCGGGCCTGTTGAGGCTGCCGCTGCCTCTTTCGATCGGCTTTTGTTGGATGTAGAAGGAGATGTTGGATGTGAGGATGTGGATGGGAGGCATTGTTTGTTTGTTTGTTGTCTTGCATTAAACAATTGACGCACTCGCCTACGGTGACACACTAAAACACAGGGCCAGAGAGACCAGAGAAGGAGATGGACTATCTATCAATGGCGTTTCGCCAAATGTTTTTTCATCTCTTCCATTAACAGTAATTATCGCAAATTATCGTATTTGTATGTGCTAACTGAACGTCCCGTCGTCGCTACACACAAATCCAATTTCCGTCCACATACACCTACACACACGCAGCCTGCTGAAGGAGGCGTGGCGTCGGAATCCAATAATTTCTAATGAAAGTTGAAAAGCGCCGCTTCAAGCGATTGGTTGGCAATGTGAACCCCACAGAATGTCGAGCCACAGCTAGTATCGAACATGTTCGAGGCCCGTTCGAGCCGCGAGGCAGCGATGCTGCGCAGTGGACTTGGGCACAGTGGTGCAATACAGGTTACATATGAACATACATTTGTATGTATTTCTTGGAACCAATTATCTCTGTATATTCTCTTTGAATTTAGCTTTCCCCAAAAACCGAATCCAGTATTACGATACGGCTACTAAGGAAGATTTCTAAGAACCTCAGATAAGGCGAACACAAAATTTAACAGGATTTTTTTGGATCAGTTTTTTTAAAGAATGTATGCTACTTTGCTGTTCAGACGAGTATAACCTTGTAGAGAAGAATAGAACAAGTTATTCTGTCAGTTATTCTCTATTTTAGTGCAATTCTAACGATTTTCTACCCACTGTGCGATGCTGCGCAGTCGAGGAACACCCACACACAACACTCAGCTCGAATCTGAGCAGACGAAAAAGCCGAAATCAAACACAATCGACAACCGCAACCGCAACAGCAACGAAAAAGAAACCGAAAAAGCTCGTGATCAGTGCACCGCTCTCTTCCCAGCGTCAGAGCTCTTCGGGTGCCAGCGCCAGCGGCAGCGGCAGCGCCGAAGCCAACGCCAGCGCCAGCGTCAACGTCAGCTACGACGCTGACGGCATGCAAACAGGATCTGAGCGTATATTACGTAGCGGTGGGCTTTAAGCCAACATCATTCCCCAGCCGAACGCCAACAACGCCAGCAGCAGATCCAGCGATCAGCGTTAAAAGAGCCACAATCCACGATTAGCCAGCAGCCAACCGCTAACCGCTAACATCGATAACGAGCAGCTGTTTTGGGCCCAGTGTCAGAGAGCTATCTGTCCGCATCTGCCAACAGCAGCAGCGATCCCCCGCCTCATCAGCATCAGCAGCTGAATTGTCAGCAGAAACAAGTGCAAAAGTGAAGTGAACTCCGCCGACAGCGACGCTCTCTCTGTCACCTCCACCTGCTCTGGAAGCTCCTCTGGTCTCTTGCGCTCCGGCTTCGTGCTCGTGCCGTGTTCGCCGCGGTTCGCTTCAGACTCGGACTTGGATTCGGACCCGAGATCGGGTTCGTGCGGCACTCCGCTCGCGCTCCAAGTCGCGCCGTAAATTACTTGCAAAGTTAAATTTAGTCTCGGCTTTTAATACCGTTTTTGTGCGTTTTCGAGTTGGTCGTGTTTTTGTTAACAACAAAATTCCAATAAAAAATCAGCTCGAGCCAAAATCAAATAAATATTCTGAAGAGGAAAGCTCTTCAGCTCCTCAGACGTTTTCACCAGAAGGAGAGACTTTAATGTGACTGCGAGAATCTTGAAATTGTGAAATATTTCCCGGATCCTGTTGATCGATTATCCTGCTGAAATTTGTTGTTTGGCAAATACCCGAAAATATATAATTTTTTTTTCTGTTGAACAACTTGAACGGAAATGTAAGCTACTCGCCCCCGCCAAGAACTGAGCCCCGCTTTCTGCTTAACATTTAGAACAATTGTTTTTCGACGCGGCCACCAGCTCCGAAACGTCCAGCGCAGCAAGCCTTAAACAACAAAATCCAATTACATAACATTTAATTGCAAAGAGCAGCAATTTAATATCATAATTTACAAAAAAAAAAAACGAGCTCACATATACCACACACGCGTACATTCGGGCGCACGCATACGCACACAAGCAGCGTATTAAAAGACGGAAGTGGATTTCGTTTAGCGGCAAAGCGGCGCATCCTGTTTTGGGCTTTTCAACATACACACACGAGAGAGAGAGAGAGACCTCGCGAACACGTATAAGAGTTGCGATTGCGTTTTCCCAAGAGATATAACGGTAAGTGAAGCTGTTATGCTATTATTATATTGGAATATACATAAGTATACTCGTAAGTTCGAACTAGTTCTCGTATTTCGAAGTGCTGTAGCCCGAAAGGACTTAAACGGTGAATGCAGAAAATTCTGGCGAAGTGTGAGATTTGTTTAATTTATTTTACAACAAAATATTGAAGTGTTTAGTACTAAAGCACAAAATTAATACTGTTCGTCAACCCGTAGAACAGTTTTCCAACAGCTGCCTTAGAGATGAATCACAAAATTCAACAATTAAAGAAAAAACAGTCCGTCAAAATAAACTGCGCAAATGGTCTCACAGCAAGCTCTCAGTTGTGCCAATTCCATTACTCGTAGTGGACCCATTAGTTTCGAAATTCCGATAAGATTGACAAAACTAGACCATAGTAAATTCTGTTTATCAAAATATTGAGTATAGTATATAGTGCGATGCACCAGTCGTTGCATCCCCTTGTATGTATATGTACATATGTATGTGCATGTAAGCAGTAAATTTATATTTTTGACTGCCAGAAGGGACAGAAACCCCAGCCAAATGTTAATAATAAACAAACAAATTGCATAAGCTTTTGCGGCTTGTGCGAGGCCCACCCGCAAACAAAAATAACGAAGCGAATCCAAACAAAGGAAAACTCTTGGAAGTCGTTAGCCAATTCTAATAAATTCAAAGCTGGGGTTATTCCCCCCACTTTCGAGGAGAAGTCGTGGAGGGCTCGAGAGATCAGGAACGGATCCAGATGAACATAACATAACACTGAGTCCTATCCGTACGATCGAGAGATCATTACATTCAGGGGAGGACCAGGTGCAGTTGACGTCAGCTTCGCGCTTCGAGAAGGGTGGTCCACTGCATTTGTCCTGCTCACACCCACAACACCATAGATAATAGAGAATAGAGCCATGCATGGACTGCATCTACAGATACCATGCGGCCGCGGTGGTGGCCGAAAATGGTCATGTGACGCCTCGTATCTGCTGGATACGTTCGTGATGTTGGCATGCGCACTGCATGGGGGTTATTTAAGCGCTCGTCGAACATGCGCAGCTTTTCAATGGCCGAGAGAGACTTATAAAGCAGGCAGCTCACACATCTTGCACACATTCACATCCCCCAGAGAGGCCGGCGATCCGTAGCGGATCAGCATAGAAAACTTTCACTGGCGGTCCAGTGGGACCGACTCCGACTCTGACTCTGACTCTGACTCTGACTCCGAGTCCGACTCCGCTTTTAGCTTGAGCTTAATTCGCATGAAGATGCGTTTCAGGCGGAAATCCGCACAAAAATTGCCGACTTCCAATGGCGATTTGCATAAATGTTGTTACGATAACAAATCACCTAGAAAAAATAGCAGCGAGCGCAAACTATGACAAACAGACAAACAGACAAACTGAAATACTAATACTTAGTTCTAATTAAAAGTGGTTGGAGGGAAAAAAACTAATTAACATTTTTCGAGCGCAGCGCAAAGCGAAAAAACACAAAAAAGTTAAGTCAATAGAGGTGAGAAAATCAATTCACAACGACAGACAGCGGCGAAGGCGAAGGCGAAGGCAGCGGCTAGTCAAGTGCCCACTTGAGTGGAAAATCAATGCACTTCCGCAAATATCTCCAAGCATATACACACACAGGTACATATACAGATACAGTCATATCCGCAGGCGCATTCATCAGGTCGAGAAGCACTCGTACACTCAGAAGTGGGGCTTCCTAAACCCTCTTTGAATGTAATTATCAAAAATTGATTGCAGCAGAATCCGGAGTCGCCGCCGAAGTAATTGTAAAAAACAAGCAGCGGTTCCTTATGGGCTCTTATATAACTTTAAAGGGCACCGTTTAGCTAGAATAATTAAGCAACATTTGCAAACGGTATTCAGCCACTCATAATAAATTAGTCAACGAAATCAATGCACTAACTAAGTACAATAGAAGCCAAAAATATTCTGGCCATTAATTCAACAGTTTGCCTGTTATTTTAGTTTATTGGCTAATTAAACCTTAAGAAAAGCAATTATGTAACTAAATATTCGTACTTAATTTGAGTCAATCAACGGGGGTTGGGACTTTTTGAATTATTTAAATCAAATATAAGCATCTAGGAAAAACATCAAAAATGAATTATTTGGTTGATGTTCCGCATCACCTAACATGCAAAGACAAGAACTAACAAGAACAATAACTAGCAACGAAAAAACACACAGATATTAAGGACATTTTATGGGACACTCAAGAATTAATCAATCAAATTCAAATCAAATTTCCAAGCAAGTTCTACAAGTTCTAGATACTCCTAAAACTTATTCCAAACGTTCTGAAAGAGATATACATAGATACAGATATAAATATAAATATAAATATATGTATGTATATGTAAAGATAAATATATGTATATGTATGTATATGTACATAGATATACGCAGAGTGTGACTCACGCCATGCATTTCCATTTGACTTTTTGATAAAAACTTCCTTTTTATTATTGGGCGCTCCTTTTCAGACGAAACTTTCGCCCTTTTGCTGGCTATTAAACAAAACATTATTGTTTTAATTTTTTTTTGCATTGCTTGCTTATTTGTGTTTATATATACGTTTTATTTGTAATTCATTTTCGGAGACTGCCTTAAAGACTGCCAACTCCTTTCGACAAGTATTCGAGGCTGTTGACGCTGCTTGTTGCATCTACAAAAACAAATTTCGCTGTCTGTCTGGCTTTCTGTCTGGCTGTCTCTCTGACTTTTGCTCTTGCTGCGGCTACTGCTGCTACGGCTGCTGTTTTTTATTTTGATATCGTGTTGTGATCGTTTGCACAACAATTTTGCGGCTGTTCTGCCGTGTGCCTGTGCCTGTGCCGTGCCGTGCCGTGCAGTGCTCTTCTGCTCTGCTTCTGATGATTATTATGATGATCGGGTTGGCAGGTTGACTTTATTACTCATACGCCGTGTGTGGCTACTAGAGCCAGCCCCAGGCCCGGCACAGCCTTCTTGACACGGACAGTGCCAAATAGCCGTGCAAATATTTGACCAACTCTTGTTAACACACTCTGCAAATAATTTATATAAACTTGAAATTAACATCAGCCATCAGACAGCAGACAGCAACCAGGCCAAACTGGAGCGACTTCTGAGAGACAGTCGTCGAATCTGTATGTCGAATGTTATCACTTCATTAGAGCTGGCAACTTTGGGTGCAGCTCGTCAAGACCATAATCACAATGATATTGATAATGATAATGATGATGATGATGTTGGGCAAATCTCTCAATTTCCATCTGAACATCTACTTGTAATTAGCTACCTCTCGATCTGCATGCCAGGTGGCCAAAAGAACAAGGCGAAAAGAGCAAGAAGCCTTTCCAGCTGATAAGGATAGGCCCCGTGTGCGGGGCCAAATTGGGAAGTTAACTATTATGGGTAAAACGGTACAGAGGTAGCTTCGAGCCAAATGCACACATACAAATGTACACTGAAAATGTTTTTAATACTATGGCGAATCCTATAGGGAACTATAGGGACAATTCGGGTCTGCAATCCATTCTTCTTAACGCCTTGGGTCGCAGCTTGGATCGTAGCCACTCAGTGGTACTGCTGTTGATACAACATCCATCCAATTCGAGCATTATATAAGCTTCCCCCAACCCCCTTTCTAAGCTATACTCGTCCGCATAAATATGTAAACAATATACAAGCCGTTGCCCCTATCGGATTTCTTTTGTGAATGAAATTAACATGAAAACATGACAGTAACCTTTAGAATCGAAATTTCGAGGCGCTGGAAAAACTTCCACGATGACAATCTGACAAGCACGGAGCCATAAAAGCCGTGAGAAAACTTTCCATAAACAGCGCGCAGGTACAGGCACAGGCTCAGGCTCAGGCTCAGGCTCCAGCAAGTCTGATCTGATGACCGATATATGTATGTATGTACATACATACATACGTCTTGGTGGGGCTTTCACCCAATTGCGGAACACTCTGAGAATAATCCAGTAGCAGTAGAAGTGGCGGTAGCAGTGGCAGTGGCAGTGGCAGGGGCAGGGGCAGGCGCAGGGGCAGTAGGTAACCGCCCAACGAACGATCATTATCGTGATAAGGCGCGAGGTTTATGATCAGGTTTTTATTGTTATTTATAGCCAAATAATTACCAGCTCCGGCCAGCCCGATAAGAGGTAGAATTCCCGGGCCTGGCACCTACTATGTATGTATGTATATGACCAGCTACTTAGTCAGAGGCCACGTCGCTGATGAGCTCGAGAAGCATCCAAAAGCTCGTGCCCGATCCGTGTTCCACGATCCACGATCCACGACCCACAATGGGCGATGGCCGATGGCCGATGCCCGATCCGCGAGGAACGCCCGCCCTCCCCAGATAAGATTCTGTATTTGTATTTCATAATAGTAGTATCATAGAGTGATATGATAGTGAAAGACTAGAAGACTCCCGTCCCGCGTTCAATGGCAAACATTGAACTTTGGAGTTGTTCTTATAAGCTTATACAACACGCTCATTATGCCACATTATTTGGAATAATCGAGATCCGATGTTGGTTTTTTTCGGATACTCTGGTGGGTCTTTCCCACCGAATTCTGCGTCGCAGAACGGCCAAAAACCAAGCAGTTGAGACTGGGGCTAAGGCTGCGCCAGAGCCAGAGCCAGAGCCAGAGGCTGGGGAAACACGAAACACTTAAGAACCGACAGCAAGTGCCAACAAAAGCCAAAGCAGATTCTTGATTTATTTGGCTAACAAATGAGGGAGTACTCGTACTCCTACTCGTTCTCGTGTGTCCCGGACAGGTGACAGGGCACTTTGAGGCCCAAAGAATTCCCTGCCTCGGGCCCCTACCCTGAACACCTACCAGATCACATGTATCATGCAGGGGCCATAATCTTTTCACGCTAACGAGCATTCTGGCCCAAAATAAGTTCCGTTCATACGAGTACACACAATGTGGGTTAAGCAAAGAATTCTTCATACATATGTGCCCGTG